TGTCTTGTATCCAAAGAAGAAATCATGGGTGTTTTCAAAATTGGCTCTACTCTAAAGGTATGTTCTTATCTTCAAAAGTTCTGCCCGATGAGCTGCTTTCACAAGTCAGCATTAGATCTATTTCTTATTCTTTTCGTCTTGAATTTGGAGTTTATCCACAAAAATGAGAAACATCATTTCATAAAAAGTCATCATTTTTACGACAGTTGGGGATCAATAACTTATATTATACTCTAATTGTTTGTGAGGGATATTCTTAAAAGATAAGGAGTGTTATTTATTAAGCTTCAGTGTTAAAGGGGATTGTAATCTAGATGCAGGGAGAAGTATTGATATTAGAGGTGGCGTTTTTTTTTCCACTCTCCATTTCTCTTTTAAAAGGATGCAGTTCTCCCACAGTTTATATGAAATCCAAAATACTCTTGACCTTGACTGAATCTGCTGGTACATTTTGTTGATTGTGTGGCCTTCTTCTTTCTGTTATTTGTGATTCACATCATTTTAGATTCTTACTTGTCCGGGAAGAAGAAATCTCCTGCATTTTATCCTGTCTTGATCACTTGATTATTGAACCGATAAACTCAAAGAAACTGCTATAGGCATAGTTATGTAGATTGGCAACCCTTGCCTATTCATTTTATCAGCTTTCAGAATAAGAGAGAAAATATTAATCTATGCCCAGGGGCATATCACACACTCACATGTTTCATGAGACATATAGTCAGTCCATCAGGGCTTTTCATTGTCTCTTAGAACAGATATTTTTGTTAGGGGGATGTAGTTTCACTTTGATCTTATTCTTGCATGCTTGATGGTTCTCATACTGCTTACATCTTATTTCTTTTGTTTCTGTTTAGGTGATATCGTGGCTTGTGGCTGCGCTGGTGATAATGATTAATGGCTATCTTTTGATGGACTCCTTATCTTCTGCAGTCAGTGGGGTGTTGTTTACATCTGTTGTATTTGCATTTACTGGTGGATACGTTGCTTTTATTGTATACCTCATTTTACGGGGAATTACCTTCCCCGATTGGTTTGTAAAAAACAAGAGTATCACCAGCATAGAGAATTGATAATGTTATTAGCAGAAAGCTTAGATCACGTTGTTTGTGCTCTTTTAGTCTGAGCTTCAATATTTGGTTGTACTAGGTTTCATACTAGCTAGTGCTTGCTATGTTAACATTTAGAGCTCTCCCCATTTCCTTCCAATGTGAAGAGCAATTGGATATATGTGTATCATTGATCAATGGTTACATTTTACCTTCTAACAAGGAAAAGCAATAGCAGATTTTAGTACGTCTCGGCTTAGACTACTATGTTGTGTGTGTTGGAGTTCATCAGCGGAGCGTCCTGTAATTACATTCCATGCTTTAGTGGATGTGGTCACTGATGAAGAAAGATGAGGAAACTTTGGTCAATGACGGAAAAAAAGGAGTGGTTTGACTCAAAAGGTGGAACGGGAAGAAATAAGGAACTACATGTGGTACCTATATGTATTGGGAACTTGAATGTTGCTCAGAAAACAACAACAATAACCCAGTGAGATCTTATAGGTGGGGTTTGAGGAGGATAGTGTGTACCCAAATCTTACCCCTACTCCGGAGGAGTAGAGAGGTTATTTTCGGAAGACCCTCGGCACAAGAAAAGAAAGAGACAGTGTATCAGTAACAGCAAAGGAATCTAGAAAGATAACACCAGCAATGCAATAACTAAAAAATAGAGAGCAAAGTAATAACACTAAGCAGTAACAAAGGAACACGTAAGGGAATAATATGTACACAAAGGGCCATTAAACATACTACAGCCTAACTTACGACCCTAATGAAGTATTAAGAACATAACCGGAACCATTAGCAGCCTCAAACAAAACACTAACATACTAGTCTCCTATCTCCGAACCTACAACCCTAATGGCCGATCTCTACAACTTCCTATCAAGGGTCATGTCCTAGAAAATCTGCATCCGCACCATGTCCTGCCTGATCACCTCTCCCCAATATTTCTTAGGCCGCCCTCTACCTCTTCTCATACCCGTCAAGGCCAGCCGTTCACACCTCCTTACCGGCGCATCTAGGATTCTCCTCTTCACGTGCCCGAACCATCTAAGCCTAGCTTCCCGCATCTTGTCTTCCATGAGAGCCACACCCATCCTCACCCGAATATCTGCATTCCTAATCTTATCTAGCCTAGTGTGCCCCCACATCCATCTCAACATCCTCATCTCTACAACTTTCACCTTCTGAGTATGAGAATTTTTGACTGGCCAACACACTGCACCATACAACATGGCCGGCCTAACCATAGCTCTATAGAACTTTCCTTTAAGTTCTGAGGCCCCTTTCTGTCATACAGGACACCAAACGCTAGCCTCCATTTCATCCACCCCACTCATATACGGTAAGTGACATCCTCGTCAATATCCTCATCCCCATGTATAATTGACCCAGGTACTTGAAGCTCCCTTTCTTGGGGATGACTTGAGAGTCAAGCCTCACGTCCATGTCCACTTCACCCGGCAGTCTTAGTCCTGCTCAGCTTGAAACCTTTGGACTCAAGGGTCCATCTCAAAACCTTCAACCTCTCGTTAACATGCCCCACGTCTTATCATTCAGGACTATATCATCAGCGAATAACATACACCATGACACCTCTCCTTGAATATGGTTTCAAGCGAATATTATCAGGATTATTCTCATGAATTATCTGAACAACAACAAGTTCAAGAGCCACCACCACTTGAGGAGCCACGTGAAGGTCAACCCATTTTACCAGAACCCACTAAAGAAATGTCTGAACTATTGGGAGTAAGAAAATCCTCAATAGTTCGAAAAATAATAATTTTTAATGACTATGTTGTATATCTCCAAGAGTCTAATTATGATATTGGACTAAAAAATTATCCATGCTCATTTTCACAAGCCGGACTAACTGAATAGCTTGAGAGGCTTAGCTTGCAATTGGGCTGTTAAATTTACTAACAAAAGTGTAATCCGTTTAGCCCGTCAAAATTAAATGAGTTGGACTAAAAATGTATTCATTTGTGAGGTACCTTAGCTTGCTTATAAATGATGCACAAGAAAACTTAGTGAAAAAAGATTTTATTTTTGTGCATTTTGTTATGTATAATTCTCTTTCAACATTTTTACGCATTTTAATTTCTTGACAACTTTGTGGGCCACATGTTTGCGAAGCCTTCCCTTCATTGAGGCTGAATACGGATCATAAGAACTATCATTCTTTGCATCTGTCTTTCTTCTCCATTTCTTACTTCTGGAAAAGTAGGAATTAAAATCTTTAATTTAGTGGAACTAGAAGACAAGAAAGGATAGGAAGAGTGTGAAGCAAAAAGAATGCAGTGAGAAGCATGATCCAAGTCCTCTAGTTTTCTTATCCGTCTTTATCTTCTTTCTCCAGTTTTTTTCTTTCCTTTTCTATAAAACGCCAAGGACAGAAAAAACAAAAAAAAAATACAAAACTCTTCTAAACTAAAATCACACAAGTCTGAAAAAATCGACTTAGCTTAGTTCTTTCTTAAACTTAGTTCAATGGTAGATATATATGAATTCAACTAAAACAATGCTAAAATCTACATGATCCGCCATCGATGGAAGGAATGATGAACTCGAAGCTTCTTCTATGGAGCTAGTCGAGCAGCACAATGAATGAGATGATGATGAGAGGATTTTGAGAAAATGATAATTGCTGCTTCTCTTCTTCTATGGATATATATATATATATATATATATATATATATATATATATATATATATATATATATATNAATCAACTAACTAACTCGACTAATGAAGCATAACTAACTGACAGGCTGGCTCCTTTAAATTACAGATGTCATGGAGCAAACTAACTAACTAACTATCTGCAATGTTATTTCATAATACTGCCCCTCAAACTGCAGGGTGTAGAATGTTAAGCACACCAAGCTTTCCTAATAGACGATTGTGTTGAGCTTGACTCAGCCCTTTGGCAAGTAAATCTGCCAACTGGTCTTTAGTATTCACATAGATTCTTTTCACAATTCCATCCTTAATCTTGTCTATGATGAAGTGATAATCTATCTCGATATGTTTAGTACATTCATGGAAAATAGGACTAGCTGCAATCTGCATAGCGGACTTGCTGTCACTCAAAATTGTAACAGGAACCTTAATAGAAACTCCCAATTCTTTAAATAATCCTAGCAGCGCATCAGTTGAGGCCATGTTTCTGTACTCAGCCTCTATTGAACTTCTAGACAATGTCTGCTATTTTTTTTTTTTATTTCCATGTGATCAAAGACTCACCAAATTTGATCACATAACCTGTGACAGACCTCCTTGTTTTAGGGCAGGCTGCCCAGTATGAATCACACTAGCAAGTTAACTCTTCAGTAGAGACTTCTGACCTCAACCATATTCCTTGGCCAGGAGATCCTTTCATATACCTAACTACCCTCAATGCAACATCCCAATGAGATCTTTTAGGTTGCTGCATGAATTGACATGTTTTGATGGCATAACTAATGTCTGGTCTAGTAGTAGTGACATACATCAGTTTACCAATCAATCTTTGGTACAATCTAACATCCTATAGAACTGTATCTTCTTTAAGTCCAGTTGTAACATCAAACTGCACTGTGGTGAGCTTTATGTTTGTTTCTAAAGGAGTAGCAGCTATCTTGGCTCCACTAAGTCCCATACTACAAATGAACTCTAGAACATACTTTCTTTGATTTAGAATTACTCATGTGCTGGATCTTAGTACTTCAATGCCTAGGAAATATTTGAGTTTACCTAGGTCCTTCGGCTTGAATTTCTGATTTAAAACATGTTTTGCCTCAGCTATCAGTGCTTAATTATTACCTGTTATCAGTAAATCATCAACATACACCAGGATAATAACCAGACCTTCATCATTTCTCAAGGTAAACAAGGAAAAATTGTGATTACTCTGCTAAAAACCTCCCTCAGTTAAAGCATCAGATAGCTTGATGTTCCACTGTTTTAAGGCTTGCTTGAGTCCATACAAGGACTTGAGTGGCTTGCAGATCTTCTGCTCCCCCTATCTTCTGAAACCTTCAGGCATATCCATATACACTTCTTCACAGAGATCTTCTTGTAAAAAGGCATTATAAACATCCATTTGATATAAGTTCCATCTTTGGAAACTGCTAAGGCTATTACTGATCTGACTGTAACCATTTTCACCGCTGGTGAAAAGATATCATGGTAATAAAGTCGTTCTTGTTGACTATATCCCTTTGAAATAAGTCTATCCTTAAACCTTTCAGTCTCAACATTAGCTTTATACTTAATTTTATATACCCATTTGGATCCTACAGTATGTTTTCCATGTGGTAAGTATACTACTTCTCGTGTTCTGTTGTCTTCTAGTGCCTTTATTTCTTGCTTCATAGCTTCTATCCATCCTGCATCCTTCACATCCTGCTTAAAGTTCTGTGGTTCTACCAAGCTAGAGAAGTTTGGTAGGTAAGACTGATAGGAAAGAGTAGTGTTTTCATATGACAAACAATTATGGGATGTTTGCCACTTGTCTTCCCATGTGCTATGTAGTCCTTCATCCAAATGGGTTCCTTAAATTCTCCGATTGACTTCCTGACAGAAAGTTGAGATCCTTCTACTTGTATGTTCTCAGATGATGGATCGGATATAGTAGGCAAGGATTTGTTGAGGGAGCAGTTGTTTGAGGTAAAGATCCACCTGCAACAGATGCATCAGTAATGGAATTGTCGTGCCCCCTTTTTCTAGAGCGAAATCGGGTTTATGACATTTGGAGGGACAACTCATTCCTTTTGGGAATTGGGTTTGCATTTGAAGAGTCGCCACCTAATGATTAGGGTGCATTAGGACACCAAAAGAGTTTGATTTTGAATAACCAGAGATTAGGGTAAGGGCTTGAAATTATTCCAAGGGGAAGGTGTTAGGCACCCCTCAGAATCTACTAGTGTGGTTCTCGGCCAGACAATTATTGTGAATTTGGGGTGCAATTAACATGTAGACAAATAAGGCTCAAATAAGAGGGGATTTCATATAACGGTTTGCAAATAAACAAAGTTTGGAAGAGCAAAGAAAAGCTGATTTTTTATAAAGAATGAGTTGAAATGATAAAAGAAATAAAGAAATAAGGGAAAGGGGGTCCTAGGTTTATTAACAATATGGATCACCCCACACAATGCCCGGTAATCACTCCTCGATGAGGGGCTACACGTGACATTAAAGCGCGGATTGGTCTCATTTATTTATTGCATGCTATTACCCGTCTCAATCCTATCAGTCCCGGAGGTATTTAGGACTACTAATCCTAAAAGGGAGGGATATTAGGCTTATTTGTAGTTTCAAAGGAAAAAAACTGTAAGGCGACATACAAAACACGTATTGCAAATTGGGGAAAACATATAACAAGTAGAGCTCAGATATACCTCCTTGAACAAAGAAGCACGTAATTAGCATGACTTACACATACTGTTTAGGTCTGATTTAAAAGGTATTAAAGACGAGGGAGAGGAAATTATTGAGACAGTTTCAGCTTATCACATAACTCAGATAAAAAGTCTGAATCAGGCCTGCCTGCTGGTTGTAATTATTAACAGAAGTAGATTCAGTTTTTATTACCCTAAGGCTTGCCTAAGTATTTGAATAGGGGTCCTATAGGCATGGTATCTACTGGATTCAGAAAGCAATGAAACAGTAAGGCTCGAAATGAACTGTTTGAATGCATACTCGTTAAACTTGTTAAGTGATAGAATCAAATTATTAAAAGAGAAGCAGGATATAAACAAATTAATTAAAAGTCATGCGGCTGATAGTAGTCATTATTACCGGTTTGATGTCGAACAATGAGTGAAGCGAATCAGATTTTATTAGAAAATCCTATAGGCATGCTTTCTACATGTTGCTGATTTTAAAACTTTATAGACGTGGTATCTAAATGCGGACCTTGTTTTAAACCTTATGTAGAATTGAATGTTTCTATAGGCATAATTTCTATATGAAGTTAAATATGCAGAATCCTATAGACATGATTTCTATATGTAATTGAATATGCAGAATCCTATAGACATGGTTTTTATATGAGGTTGAGTATGCAGGAATATAGTAGTCCTATAGTTATGATTTCTACCCTTTGCATACATAGTTACCCACCCTTTTTAACTAACCAGCCCCAAATGTTTGCTACAAATTATTACACCAAAATAAATAAAATTATATCCAAATATAAATAAAAGTACAACTAAAGAAAGCCCGATTCTGACTTCCTCCCTGAGTTATAAGATAAACCCAACTCAAAGACCATTGATCCAAAGCCTTTCTCCAATTTGAGTGTGTCAGAGTTCCCTAAGAGCCTCAAAGGGACTCCGGCAATGCTTACACCCAAATTGTATTATCAAAATAGGGATAAGTGCAGTGTGGAAGGGCCATCCCTCAAGTGTCCAAGTTCATAGGGAGCTCAAAGGGTCCCAAAGGCAAGGCTCACAAGAGGGGGGCAGAACTTAAAGTCTAAGAGAGTGTGCAAGTGAAGAGCAGAGTTCTGGGGAATAAAGAAGAGGGAAACAACTACACAAAAAGGGTTCAGGGGAATAGGGAAGTTGCAAAGAGTCCATGTACTTAGACATTTAGCTAATTCTGGGCATGCACAGCAATAGAGAGTGCTGTTATGCTTATAAATCAACAAGAATACACAACATAAGATAGTGACATGGAGGTTATGATTCCAAAGGAATCAAGTTTGAGCCATAAACAATAATACTTGATACTGCCATGCCTCAAATAAACCAATATCATCAAACACATTAGGGTAGGGGATTTAGGATTCATAATAGGAAGGAAACTATATCATGCTAAAGTAAATTCTGAACTAAACTCAAGCAATAGGCTGACATGCAATTGAAGGTATTAAATAAACACATTATTGTAGTTGCTGAAAACCTTAATCAGGACATACCAGTTTCAAAGAAGCAAACACAATAGTAGCAGCACTTGAAAGAAAACAGGCCATAGTACAAGTAACAAGAGAGAGTGCTTTTTGAATGTGAGTGTGAGTTCAGAAAACTAAGAATGTTCGTGTGTGTTTGTGTCAATGAAAGAGCATGGTATTTATTGTTTGAAAATAGGAGAGAATAAGGCAGGAAAATAACCATGTACCAATTAAAATCAATTAGTAGAAGAACATCCTTTAATTAAGGAGTTCGAACTTAAATGGTAATGAACAAAAATCATTTAAGGAAAGAGATCAGATTAGCATCTTGTGTAAAGTAGACAATTAGGGGTAAATACATAGGAGTTTAATTAAGGGAAGGATCTTTGAAATATACAATTAAACAAATAAGGTAAGAATCAATCGGTACATAGTAAATCAAGGAGTCAGAGATTCAAAATTACTATTTCATGAATAAACCAAGTCAGAAAGGCTAAGGAAAGTTTTCAAATCAAACCAAGAAACAGTGAAATTAGTAAAACAAGGAAAGCATCAATTAGACTTACACAAGGAGGTCTGAAATTAGTCAAAAAATTGAAAGTCATTTTAGTGGGGAAGCTTAGCATATATAAAGAGCACACAAGTATTAGGCATGCGAGGCTGAATTTAGGACAAAGAAAAGTGTCATGCAATTGCAAAATCACTAAGTACTGGACTATAGGAACATGGTAGTCACATAGGTCAGTTTCAGTAACTCAGCAATGGAGAAGGGAGAGAGTATCAAATAGCATGCAAAGGGTCCAGTAGAAAGACCTTAGAAGAGTTTAGTAGGGATTCAGAAACATATAAAGAAACAAAAGAATTTGAAATTCAGTCGAGCAATAGATGAAACAACTTCAGAAACCCAGATAGGTCCAAAGGAATTAGGCTTTCGAAACCAAATAAGTTCAGAGATGAAGACAAGCAAATCACATAGCAAATAGCCTCAAAACTTGAGTGAACCCCCCAAATTTAGGGTTTTCACCATCAATCGAGTATAGAGATGAAAGACAAAAGAATCACGATATCAACGAAGAAAATAAAATCAAAAACCTTAAGAAAGGGCTAGGACTTTTAACATAAAAAACACAGTAGAAGAACAACATAAGAGACACAGAAGAAGAATCAACATAAGAAACACA